TGAAAGAAGAAGAAGATATCCAATTATGTACTGTGAGTGAAAGATAACCTATTACCCTCATTTCACTAATTTCCATATGCTGTACTATCACTCTGCAGAGTATAATATAGCTTTGTATACTAGCAAATCACAGAAAACTCGGTCATAACCTAGTGATACTAAGCAATGATCAAAGTATGTATTTGGAATTTCAAGTTACTGGGTAAAGAACCTCCTCTCTTGACAATGACATTTTAACTGTATTGAATTTTGTGTTATTATTTATGAAGTTAACTATAATTTTCTTAAGAGCATTTTATTTGGCTATAATTTTTGTTTACTGAGGAGAAAATTTATTATTTTTTTTTATTATTAGCACACTGGCCAATTCCCACCAAGGCAGGGTGGCCCAAAAAAGAAAAACTTTCACCATCATTCACTCCATCACTGTCTTGCCAGAAGGGTGCTTTACACTACAGTTTTTAAACTGCAACATTAATACCCCTCCTTCAGAGTGCAGGCACTGTACTTCCCATCTCCAGGACTCAAGTCCGGCCTGCCGGTTTCCCTGAATCCCTTCATAAATGTTACTTTGCTCACACTCCAACAGCATGTCAAGTATTAAAAACCATTTGTCTCCATTCACTCCTATCAAACACGCTCATGCATGCCCGCTGGAAGTCCAAGCCCCTCCCACACAAAACCTCCTTTACCCCCTCCCTCCAAGTTTTCCTAGGCTGACCCCTACCCCGCCTTCCTTCCACTACAGACTGATACACTCTTGAAGTCATTCTGCTTCGCTCCATTCTCTCTACATGTCCGAACCACCTTAACAACCCTTCCTCAGCCCACTGGACAACAGTTTTGGCAATCCCGCACCTCCTCCTAACTTCCAAACTACAAATTCTCTGCATTATGTTCACGCCACACATTCCCCTCAGACATGACATCTCCACTGCCTCCAGCCTTCTCCTTGCTGCAACATTCATCACCCATGCTTCACAACCATATAAGAGCGTTGGTAAAACTATACTTTCATACATTCCCCTCTTTGCCTCCAAGGACAAAGTTCTTTGTCTCCACATACTCCTAAGTGCACCGCTCACCCTTTTCCCCTCGTCAATTCTATGATTCACCTCATCTTTCATAGACCCATCCGCTGAAACGTCCACTCCCAAATATCTGAATACATTCACCTCCTCCACTCTCCCTCCAATCTGATATCCAATCTTTCATCACCTAATCTTTTTGTTATCCTCATAACCTTACTCTTTCCTGTATTCACTTTTAATTTTCTTCTTTTACATACCCTACCAAATTCATCCACCAACCTCTGCAACTTCTCTTCAGAATCTCCCAAGAGCACAGTGTCATCAGCAAAGAGCAACTGTGACAACTCCCACTTTGTGTGATTCTTCATCTTTTAACTCCACGCCTCTTGCCAAGACCCTCGCATTTACTTCTCTTACAACCCCATCTGTAAATATATTAAACAACCACGGTGACATCACACATCCTTGTCTAAGGCCTACTTTTACTGGGAAATAATCTCCCTCTCTCCTACATACTCTAACTTGAGCCTCACTATCCTCGTAAAAGCTCTTCACTGCTTTCAGTAACCTACCTCCTATACCATACACCTGCAACATCTGCCACATTGCCCCCCTATCCACCCTGTCATATGCTTTTTCCAAATCCATAAATGCCACAAAAGCCTCTTTAGCCTTATCTAAATACTGTTCACTTATATGTTTCACTGTAAACACCTGGTCCACACACCCCCTACCTTTCCTAAAGCCTCCTTGTTCATCTGCTATCCTATTCTCCGTCTTACTTTTAATTCTTTCAATAATAACTCTACCATACACTTTACCAGGTATACTCAGCAGACTTATCCCCCTATAATTTTTGCACTCTCTTTTGTCCCCTTTGCCTTTATACAAAGGAACTATGCATGCTCTCTGCCAATCCCTAGGAAACCTTACCCCCTTCCATACATTTATTAAATAATAGCCCCAAACCACTCCAAAACTATATCCCCACCTGCTTTTAACATTTCTATCTTTATCCCATCAATCCCAGCTGCCTTACCCCCTTTCATTTTACCTACTGCCTCACAAACTTCCCCCACCCTCACAACTGGCTCTTCCTCACTCCTACAAGATGTTATTCCTCCTTGCCCTATACATGAAATCACAGCTTCCCTATCTTCATCAACATTTAACAATTCCTCAAAATATTCCCTCCATCTTCCCAATACCTTTCTTACTCTCCATTTAATAACTCTCCTCTCCTATTTTTAACTGACAAATCCATTTGTTCTCTAGGCTTCCTCAACTTGTTAATCTCACTCCAAAACTTTTTCTTATTTTCAACAAAATTTGTTGATAACATCTCACCCACTCTCTCATTTGCTCTCTTTTTACATTGCTTCACCACTCTCTTAACCTCTCTCTTTTTCTCCATATACTCTTCCCTCCTTGCATCACTTCTACTTTGTAAAAACTTCTCATATGCTAACTTTTCCTCCCTTACTACTCTCTTTACATCATCATTCCACCAATCGCTCCTCTTCTCTCCCGCACCCGCCTTCCTGTAACCACAAACTTCTGCTGAACACTCTTAACACTACATTTTTAAACCTACCCCATACCTCTTCGACCCCATTGCCTATGCTCTCATTAGCCCATCTATCCTCCAATAGCTGTTTATATTTTACCCTAACCGCCTCCTCTTTTAGTTTATAAACCTTCACCTCTCTCTTCTCTGATGCTTCTATTCTCCTTGTATCCCATCTACCTTTTACTCTCAGTGTAGCTACAGCTAAAAAGTGATCTGATATATCTGTGGCCCCTCTATAAACATGTACATCCTGAAGTCTACTCAACAGTCTTTTATCTACTAATACATAATCCAACAAACTACTGTCATTTCGCCCTACATCATATCTTGTATACTTATTTATCCTCTTTTTCTTAAAATATGTATTACCTATAACTAAACCCCTTTCTATACAAAGTTCAATCAGAGGGCTCCCATTATCATTTACACCTGGCACTCCAAACTTACCTACCACACCCTCTCTAAAAGTTTCTCCTACTTTAGCATTCAGGTCCCTTACCACAATTACTCTCTCACTTGGTTCAAAGGTTCCTATACATTCACTTAACATCTCCCAAAATCTCTTTCTCTCTCTCTCTCCTCTACATTCCTCTCTTCTCCAGGTGCATACACGCTTATTATGATCCACTTTTTGCATCCAGCCTTTACTTTAATCCACGTAATCCTTGAATTTACACATTCATATTCTCTTTTTTCCTTCCATAACTGATCCTTCAACATTATTGCTACCCCTTCCTTAGCTCTATCTCTCTCAGATACTCCAGATTTAATCCCATTTATTTCCCCTCACTGAAAGTCCCCTACCCCCTTCAGCTTTGTTTCGCTTAGGGCCAGGACATCCAACTTCTTTTCATTCATAACATCAGCAATCATCTGTTTCTTGTCATCCGCACTACATCCACGCACATTCAAGCATCCCAGTTTTATGAAGTTTTTCTTCTTCTCTTTTTTTAGTAAATGTTTACAGGAGGAGGGGTTACTAGCCCATTGCTCCTGGCATTTTAGTCGCCTCATATGACATGCATGGCTTACGGAGGAAAGATTCTTTTCCACTTCCCCATGGACAATAGACGAAATAAAGAAGAACAAGAGCTATTTAGAAAAAGGAGAAAAACCTAGATGTATGTATCTTTCTTCTTTCTTTCAACACACCGGCCGTATCCCACCGAGGCAGGGTGGCCCAAAAGAAAAAACCAAAGTTTCTCCTTTCAAATTTAGTAATATATACAGGAGAAGGGGTTACTAGCCCCATGCTCCCGGCATTTTAGTCGCCTCTTACAACACGCATGGCTTACGGAGGAAGAATTCTGTTCCACTTCCCCATGGAGATAAGAGGAAATAAACAAGAACAAGAACTAGAAAGAAAATTGAAGGAAACCCAGAGGGGTATGTATATATACGCTTGTACATGTATGTGTAGTGTGACCTGAGTGTAAGTAGAAGTAGCAAGACGTACCTGAAATTTTGCATGTTCATGAGACAGAAAAAAGGACACCAGCAATCCTACCATCATGTAAAACAATTACAGGCTTTCGTGTTACACTCACTTGGCAGGACGGTAGTACCTCTCTGGGCGGTTGCTGTCTACCAACCAACTGCATATATATATATATATATATATATATATGCATGTGCGTGTCTGTGAAGTGTGACCAAAGTGTAAGTAGGAGTAGCAAGATATCCCTGTTATCTAGCGTGTTTATGAGACAGAAAGAGACACCAGCAGTCCTACCATCATGTAATTTATATATCCTACATACATATATACATACATACTTACATAACAATTATCTTTATTTGAATGAACTTGCAGGAGACATAAACAAAGTTTGAGCTGTATATTTTAATCTCTTCCTAAAATCCTTTTTGAGCAGATACAAAAGGGAAGAGAGAAAATGTATTTATAGGATATATAAATGTATGCATCTCAATATTATAATTTTAACCATTACTATTAACCATAGGGTGAAGATTATCTTTCCTTGATAATAATACTGTGCTGTGGTACAGAAGTTCTTTTAATACTGAAATGTTTAAGTGCTATGGCACAAAAACATTTTGTAAAGAACTAAAATGCTTATTTGGAATAAAATTTTATTAATATGGTGATTCAGATAACTGTAATAAGTGATACTTTCAAAACAATGGGTCTGTAATTTTTAAGATAATTGTATTTAATCATAAGAGACACATTCCTTAACAAAACAACATGGAGTTGCATTGCTGTAATTTTTGGCATTGGAGATGGTAAATTATCACACAGAAAATATTTCTAAAAGTAAATCATCATATCAACCAGTATGAAATTCAGTAGAATAAATTTTTTCTTTTGTTTGGCTTGCGTTTGCTTTGCTTGTGTGTGCTAACACTGATCTCCCCCCTCCCCCCCACTAATTCAGCTCGTCTCATAGTCCGGAAAGTGGAATCGGCCTCAGCCACAACTCCCTGCCTGGCTCTGACACCTATGATCAACCGGATGGTGGTGACGATGATAACGCAGAGTTCTATGATGCTGAACCTCTACCTATTATTGGAACATGTCGAGCACTGTACAGTTTTGAAGGTATGTACCCACTTTTTGGATGTTGTATAAACAATAAATAATTTTTGAAGTCAGTAGCTGTCTTCTGTCAAGGTTGGGTAATCTAAAGAAGAAAGCACATTCACCAATATTCATTCAATCACCATCTTTCCAGATGTGTGTTGACATCACAGCCACATTACCCTCCAATTGTAACATCCCCACCCCTCCTCCTGAGTGTAGGCACTGCCCTTCCCACCCCCAGGACTCGAGTCTGGCTAACTAGTTTATCGTGAATCCCTTAATAAGTTCTTCCTGCTTACACTCCAACAGGACTTGTCTCCTTGCACTCATATCTAACATGCTCACACAACACTGCTGGATCCTCAAGCCCCTAAAATTCAGAGCCCCTTGTACCCCTTCCCTCCAACTGTTCATGGTGACCCTTTTTCCTCCTCCTTTCCACCCCAGATTTATACACCCTCTATGTCATCCTATCCCTCTCCATCCTCTCTACATGCCTAGACAACCTCAACAACACCTCCTCAGCCTTTTATTTTCTCCAAAAAAATTAAAAATCATGGTGGAGTGATGAAGAGCATAAGTCAGAGGGCCGAGAAAATATTTTATTTTATTAACACACTGGCCGATTCCCACCAAGGCAGGGTGGCCCGAAAAAGAAAAACTTTCACCATCATTCACTCCATCACTGTCTTGCCAGAAGGGTGCTTTACACTAGAGTTTTTAAACTGCAACATTAACACGCTTCCTTCAGAGTGCAGGCACTGTACTTCCCATCTCCAGGACTCAAGTCTGGCCTGCCGGTTTCCCCGAATCCCTTCATAAATGTTACTTTGCTCACACTCCAACAGCACGTCAAGTATTAAAAACCATTTGTCTCCATTCACTCCTATTAAACAGGCTCACGCATGGCCGCTGGAAGTCCAAGCCCCTCGCACACAAGACCTCCTTTACCCCCTCCCTCCAACCTTTCCTAGGCCGACCCCTACCCCGCCTTCCTTCCACTACAGACTGATACACTCTTGAAGTCATTCTGTTTCGCTCCATTCTCTCTACATGTCCGAACCACCTCAACAACCCTTCCTCAGCCCTCTGGACAACAGTTTTGGCAATCCCGCACCTCCTCCTAACTTCCAAACTACGAATTCTCTGCATTATATTCACACTTGGAGGAAACTATGGCCACAGTGTGTACAAGAGAGGGATTCTGAAGGGTTTGGGGCTAACCCTCAGGAGCCTATGCCAGTAGTGGAAGTTATTATGTGATTGGGTAAGTCTATGGGGTTGGGGGTTTGTGGTGAGGATGTGGAAGAGTTGGTGCAGAACGACGATCAAGAATTAACCACTGCAGACCTGCAAGAGCTTGATGTGCAACAGCAACAGATAACAGCTCAGGAATGTGCTTCAGAGCAGGAGGAAGAGAGACGGAAGAAGTTGCCTTCGTCAAGGATTAAAGAAATGTGTACAATGTTTACAAAGGTGCAAGTATTTATGGATGAATTTTATCCTGTCACAGCTGTTGCAAGCCGTATTGGCAACATGTGCAATGACACTCTTGTGTCTCATTTTAGGGAAATCCTAAGGGCACATGAGAAACAGAGCTCTCTGGACAGTTTTTTGGTGCGACAGGGGTCCAGCGACTCTCAAGCTGGTCCTAGTGGCATTAACCCTTTGGGGGTCGACTTGTTCTCAGGGTCTTGTTCTCAGAGACTTGTTCTCAGGGTCGGCCAAATTTCAAAAAAAAAAAAAAATAAAAATTTTTCTTATGAAAAGATAGAGAATTTTTTCCTGATCATCATGACACCAAAAGTATGAAATCTGACGGAAAACTTATGGAATTATGCTCTCGCGAAGTTAGCGGTCTTGACAGTGTTTACGCATCAGCGATTTTGCCCACTTTGAGCCCTATTTTCAGCCAATTCCAGTGTACTAGTCGACAAAAATCATAACTATTTTGCTAAAACTCCATTTTTTTCTATCGAATGAGTACAAGAAACCACTCATTTACCGATTTCAACTATCCAATAAAGTGGTCAGAATTTAGCAATTTTGCCAATTTCACACAAATTTCAAAAGATGCCAATTTCCGAATAGGGTCCAGAATAAACAAGAAAGACATTCCTGGCACTAAAATAACAAGTTCTCTGTTCGTTAGTCACATCCCCAGGCCCCTATTATATTTCTTTGGCTTTCCACTTTGAATTTTTATTCTTACAAAAAAAATAAGATTTACTGTTATGCAGACTATTGCATTAGTGTAGAAATGGTATAAATAATATCAGCGCACTTGTGAAAGAATATTAGACTCACCAGTTGATGTGTATTGGACGCTTGGCATGATTTGTTTACTTTTGAACTTTGGTAAAAATCGAACATTTCTGCTACTTTGAGCTCAATTTCAAGGTACTTTTCATTGTAAAACCAGTCAAAATCATCTCAATTTCTGTAATATGTCTTCCATTCTATAAAATGAGACCAAGAAAACTAGAATACAACAATAAATACCATACGAAAATACAGTGCAAAGTCGCCGTTTTAAACACGGTCAAAGTTTTTTTCTCTCTCATTACGCACTGTGTGCTGCAGGATTTTTTTGATACTGCGCACACTGACCACATAGACCCCATTCTTACATATGTAAGCCTACCAGCTTTCTCTCACTAGATTTGAGGGCGCTAGAATTTAGGCGTACTAGTACGTCAAAAACCCTGGGTCGTAAGATGTACTAGTACGTCCGAAACCCCCAAAGGGTTAAAAAACCAAGAAGGGAGGTAACCCCAGAAAAGGACTTGTTACCTGAAGTCTTTATGGAAGGGGATTCCCCTTCCAAACAATAGGAAACTTGAATCTCCCCTGCTGCTGGCACATCACTCATCAACAACTCCACAGTAAAGGTAAGTGGCATTTAATTATTGTTTATTTTGCATGTACCATTTGTTGCTGTGTAGGGAAATGTATATTTCATTGTAAAAAAAAAAATATACTTTTGGGTGTCTGGAATGGATTAATTGGATTTCCATTATTTCTTATGGGGAAAATTAATTCAGTTAAAGGCTAGCTCTTTACAGTGTTTTGCCTTATGGCGTTCCGCTAGTATGGTGATTTCAAATTATGACCAAAACTCGCTATACGGCAACCTGTCTTTCTAATACAGCACGCGCCACCCGGTTTGTTTACATTCTCCGTAAGCACATCTCTCTATTATGTCTGGAAACTTTCCAAAATTTCAAGTGTTTCAAAGTTATTACATATTTTATATATTCTTCTTTCTTTCAACACACCGGCCGTATCCCACCGAGGCAGGGTGGCCCAAAAGGAAAAACAAAAGTTTCTCGTTTTACATTTAGTAATATATACAGGAGAAGGGGTTACTAGCCCCTTGCTCCCGGCATTTCAGTCGCCTCTTACAACATGCATGGCTTACGGAGGAAGAATTCTGTTCCACTTCCCCATGGAGGTAAGAGGAAATAAACAAGAACAAGAACTAGAAAGAAAATAGAAGAAAACCAGAGGGGTGTGTGTGTACATATGCTTGTACATGTATGTGTAGTGCGACCTAAGTGCAAGTAGAAGTAGCAAGATGTACCTGAAATCTTGCATGTTTATGAGACAGACAAAAGACACCAGCAATCCTACCATCATGTAAAACAATTACAGGCTTTCGTTGTACACTCACTTGGCAGGACGGTAGTACCTCCTTGGGCGGTTGCTGTTTACCAATCTACTACCTAGGATATTTTATATATGTTCTGATGATAATACTTGTGTAGCTGTACCTAAATATACTTACACACTGAACTGGTGTGTGTAGGTACACATTAAAATCACTGGGAATGTCCCTCGAGTCTTAACACAATAGTAATACTAATAGTATGTAATAATAATCACTCTTGGGCACATTAAATGTCGTATTTTACATTAATATAGACATTTTCATTAATCCATCTATGATATTTTCTACAAAATTACATAAGAAACATGTTACAGAGCATATAAACATGCTATATTTATATGCTGGGCAGAGGGAAAACATTGTTTTCTCTGGTCCAGCACCAAAGTCAACGTGTATGAATCTGCGTTTGGCCTAGTCACTCCGCTTTTGTTTACAATTCTCGGCATGAATTATTCATTACTTCTCCCTTCGGTTATGATGGCATCTAAAGGTAGTTCTTAGAAACGATTAAATTCAGTGATCAAGGTATGGCGATGGTAAAAATATAGCTCTGGACTGCAGTGTAGGTAGCTGGAAGGTGTAGCCCAGGCAGGCTACACCTACTGGCTGCCTGCAAATGAATACTACTCACCTCTCATCCAACATTAAGACTATACATATTTTAAGGTAAATAATGAGTGTACTGTATGTGTATTTTATCTCTCTGGGCTGTTTTAAATATCGTATATTAAGTTTGGGAGGGGGAGCCAGGGCTACCTATACCTGACTTCCTACAAATAAGTGCTACTCACCTTTTGCCCTACATTAATAAGACTACAAATATTTTAACCCGTTAACTGTCCAAACGTAGATCTGTGTTCTTACTGCTAGCGCTCCAAATGTAGATCTAAGTTTTATTTTTCCTGCCTCCAAATTTGGGATGATTGGCTTGAAATGCCTGGTCAGTATAGAATGGGTCTTAACACTTGGTGTGTGCAGTTTTAAAAAAATCTGGGACCACTTAGTACCTTGTGGGAGCACCAGTTCAATTGAGCACCAGCTAGAGCAAATAGCATGGCAAAGGGATTCACTGATGTTATGTTGTATTAACACTCCCTTTTTAAGAGGAAAGTGATGATGACCCTGAGTTTAGTGGCTCTGAGATGGATGTGGCCACAAGTGGTTGAGGAAATAAAAAAAGCTTGATAACCCATGTGCAACATTTGTGCAACATCCTTTCAATTTTGATACCACTGGTAGTGTTATTCTGCCAGAATGTCCTATAACCTATGGCCTAAGTAGAGAGAAACAATTCTTGAACATGTGTAATATGTGTTTGGCAGGCTGGGTGGCTGGTTGGCCAGGTGGC